GCCGTAGTTATGGCACTACGGCCTCCGCTCCAATCGCAACCATCACCGAACCATCTTCGCCCTACCTCTTCGCCTAGCCAGCTTTTACCCTATTTAGGCGTGCTTCTCATTGTATCGTCATTCTGTAGTTCAAGTATTCTCGTTATTCGTTTTACTGCGCACTCTGCAAGTTCATTCATAACATGATAAGTCTGCACTTGAAAAAGGTGTATGCCTTGTTTTGTGCCATATCTCGCCAACAGCCCGTGTAGCTGGCGTATGGCGGCCACAGGGCTCTCTCCTTTTCCCTGGCACCGCGTCCATTCATCTGCTTATTGGCCTCGCCACCTTTGAAGCTGCACGTTGCTACTACCTTCCTACTCGCTCGCTACCCTATCCCCACAACTCCGAACGATGCGGCATCAACTATCGCCCCGTATCACCTGTCCACCCACATTACCGCCACCTGCTCGTAGCGCCCCACACGTTGCTCGCTGTCGTCGTCGTCGTGTGCGCAGCACCGCGCGGGACGACCATCGCTAGCGGAGCACGCGGGTGCGGCCAGCCCGCTCTGTGCAGCGACGCCCGTCCGCCGCGCATCAACGGCGCGCGCCATGCTCGCGCCTGTGGCCATCACCAGTGCAGTGACGATCAAGCCCGTGGCCTCTCATTCATCCCCATGCCTCCCCGCAATCCCAATCGCGCACACCGCCGACGGGCCCCGTTGGGCCGCTGAGCCTCCTCTTCGCCGCGCCCTCCTCACGTTTTGCCTGAGCTGCCAGCGGACCGGCTGCTAAGCCGTTAGTGTGACGGCCTGCCGCAAAGATGGCGACGGCTGGCAGGCAGACGCTGACGGTCATCGGGGTCGGGCAAGATTGAGCAGGCGAATCTGGTGGCCGTTCGATTCGAATTTAAAATTCACCTCGTCGAGGTCAGCTCCGCCCCCCGTCTGCCTCCGCTTGGTCCCACTTCCCCGCCCGCCCCACGTCCCCCTTCTCCCTTCCCCCTTCCCGCTTCCCGCTTCCCCTTCCTCACTTCCCACGTCCCGCTTCCCCCATCCGGAGCCCCCCGTTCCGCTTCCGTCGTCGTTCCATGCGTCTTCCGCTCCCCACCACATCTGCGTGTCTCCCCTCGTCCCCGCACGCCGCGCCTCTGAACGATCTCCAGCCCCTCTCTCTCCCTCCTTCGCCCCCTCTCTCTCCCTCTTCGCCCCCTCTCTCTCCCTCTTCGCCCCCTCTCTCTCCCCTCTTCGCCCCCTCTCTCTCCCTCTTCGCCCCCTCTCTCTCCCTCTTCCCCTCATCCCCTCGTGCCCCCTACCCCGCCAACCGCCCACCATGGCGGCAGCTGCTCGGGTGGCTGCGCGCCTCCCCGCCGCTCATCATCCGCTGGCAGCGCGGGGACAGCCGCGCGGGCCTCTCGGCGCCTGTGTGGCCCCCCGACGGCCCCCACGTGCCGCTCAGCCACACCTTCCGGGTACGCTGTGAGTGCACCCGGCTGTGGGGGGGAGGGGGGAGGGGGGAGGGGGGAGGGGGGAGGGGGGAGGGGGGAGGGGGGGACGGATTGGGGGTGGGGGGATCTGGGTTCCTGGGGTGGTGCTGTGGTGGGATGGCGGGGCGTGGTTGAGGCGGTGGGAGAGACAATGGGGGCCGCGGGGCGAGTGGCACCGGGCAGTCACACCTGCGTCCCCCACGCAGCAACAAACCCTCTCCACCCCACGCCCACGCTGCATGCACCTCCCATCTCCCCCACCTCCCACCAGCTTCTCCTTGCATTCGCATCCTCTCCTTCTCCCTCCCCCACTCCCTTCCCCTTTTCCCAACGTCTTCCCCTCCTCTCTAACACCAACCTCTTCCCATCCTTCTTCTCCGCCCTCTCAACCACCCCTTACCCCCCTCATTTCCCTCCATTCTTCCCGTTCCCCACTCTTTCCCCCTTTTCGCCCCCTCTTTCCCTGCTTTTCCCTCTTTCCTCCCCTTTCCCCTTTTTCCCCCACTTTCCCTCCCTTTTCCCCTTTCCCCCTCCCGTTCCCCCCTTTTTTCCCCCTTTTCCCCCTTTGCCTCCCTTTCCCCCCCTTTCCCCCCTTATTCCCCCCATTTCCCGCCCGCCCTGTCCCCCTCGCCTGCGGGCAGATCCCAGTGACGCTGTACAGGGAGAGGGGCGCCCCCACGGCGCCCTACCTGCGCAAGGCAGCCACCTTCACGCTCCACCACGCGCTGCCCGCCGCCGCCGCCCACCCGAGCCACCCACCCGATGCACCATCCGAGCCTGCCTTCCAGGCTCGGCCCGAGCCTCTGGGCCGGGCGCAGCTGGACCTGGCTGAGCTGGCGGACTGCGACGGGGCGGTGGAGCGCCGCCTCAAGGTGGCGCCCGGGCCCGCCATGCTGGCTGACGTGGCGGCTGCTGAGAGGCCGGCGGGGGCGGTGCTGGTGGTGAGCGTGGAGTGCGTTGGGAAGAAGCTCAGCCGCGAGGCCGCCGCTGAGGAGGCCCTCATGTACGCCTGGCATGGCATGGGCAGGGGCAGGGCAGGGGCGCAGGGCATGGGCGCAGGGCATGGGCGCAGGGCATGGGCGCAGGGCATGGGCGCAGGGCATGGGCGCAGGGCATGGGCTCTAAGCAAGAGGAGGGAGTGGTTTAATTAGGGTGATGGGTGTTGAAGCGAGAGGGTGGGCGTGGGATGGGGTGTGGATGATAGCATTGGAGAAGCAGGTGGGTTTGGGTGAGGGGGAGTGAATGCGATGGGGGGAGGGTTGGGATAATATAGAGTGGTGAGGTGAGGAAAGGGGAAGTGCAGGGGTGAGAGTGGGGGGCGAGCAGTGTTGGTGAGGGAGAGGGGTGAGTGCAGAGTGCGGGCAGGGAGAGTGCGGGCAGGCAGAGTGCGGGCAGGTGTGGCTCGTGTGCTGCCAGAGCTGCTGCTTGGTGCTGCATGCGTTGTGAGTCAGCGCCATGCGTGGGGTGGGAGGCATGTGTGGGTCAGCCTTGGGTGCAAAGGCTGCCAGCATGGGCAAGCCAGCAATGGCAGCATGGGCAAGCCAGCATGGGCAAGCCAGCATGGGCAAGCCAGCATGGGCAAGCCAGCATGGGCAAGCCAGCATGGGCAAGCCAGCATGGCAAGCCAGCATGGGCAAGCCAGCATGGGCAAGCCAGCATGGGCAAGCCACCATGGGCAAGCCACCATCCGTGCCGCTCCACTCCATGCCCCCTCTCCATCTGCTGCTCACTCCCCTTTCGCTGCTCTTGTGCCCCCCCATACGTCCATGCTGCCCCACCCCCCTCCCCCTCTTTCCCCCCCAGCCTGGCGGCCCCCAGGGGTCATCGCCGCAACGCCTCCTCACCGCTGCTGCCCTCCACCGCACTGCACTGCCCCGCTGCCCCCTCACATCTTGCCTCCTCCCCTCCGGCATCAGGGTGCGCGTCGCCCGCCGTGGCAGCAGCAGGCAGCGCGGGGTCGTCGCTGGGCGACGGTGACTTCCCTGCCCTGCCCGCGCTGCCCCCCGCGGCAGGGGGCGCGCATGCACAGGGCCACACGCACGAGGGGCCGCATGGGCCATGGCAGCACGAGCAGGCTGTAGCAGAGAGAGAGGCGCGTGGGGAAGATGCGGGGAGGGTGGAGGCAGTAGCAGAAGAAGGCAGAGGGGAAGGAGTGCAGAGCGGTGGTGAGGTGGGCAAGCGCAAGCAGCAGAGGAAGAGCCGCAGAGGAGGCAGGGCAGGCTCATGCGATTGGGGTGGGGGGCGGGAGGGAGACGGGGGGAGACGTGAGTGAGGAGGTGCGGATAAAGGACGCTGTAGAGCGTGACGTGGCAGTGGGCGATTCTGGACCTGTCTCTGCCACGTCAGCCCCCCCTTCCACATTTGCAGTGTCTGCCAAGTCAGCATCGTCTTCATCCACCTCATCACGACCTCCCTCCCACCCTCCATCAGCCTCTGCTTCCCCTGTGCCCTCGCGCTCCCTCCTCTGTCTCGTCAGCGACCTCTGCATCCACGTCAGCTTCGGCATCCACGTCAGCTTCGGCATCCACGTCAGCATCTGCTTCGTCAGCATCCACATCGGCATGCATGACGTCATCATCATCACATTCGCCGCTGGAGTCACCAGCAGCATCCGCGCCCCCCTCCGCCTCCTCCATGTCTGCCACACGCGCCTTCCGCCTCGCTGCTGCCACCCATGCCCCCTCCCCTCGGCCTCAGGTACGGCCCCTCCCCTCGGCCTCACACTCTCCCCTCGGGACATCCCCTCGCTGCTTCCCTGCCTTCCTTCCCCCTCTACTTCCTCTCCCCTCCTCGTCATCTCTGCTGCTCTGTGTGCGTCTCCTTCCTTTGACACGTCCACACTATCCTCTCCTCTCTGGCCCTCCCCCCCCCCCCCCCCCCCCCCCCCCCCTCCCCGCATTCACGCCTCTCCGCGCCTCTCGTCTCCCCCCCCCTCTCCCACCCTTCCAGCCAGCCGCGGGGGCCAAGCCACGCAGGAAGGCATCGCGCCGCGCGCAGTCGTACGGCAGCACTGAGCTTGCAGCCTTCCATGCCGCCCCCGCTGCACCACCAGCACCACCACCAGCACCACCACCAGCACCACCACCAGCACCAGCACCAGCACACGCTGCAGCAGCAGCAGCACAAACGTCACCAGCAGCAGCAGCACAAACGTCACCAGCAGCAGCAGCACAAACGTCACCAGCAGCAGCAGCACAAACGTCACCAGCAGCAGCAGCACAAACGTCACGAGCAGCAGCAGCACAAACGTCACGAGCAGCAGCAGCACAAACGTCACGAGCAGGTGCCCGGGAAGATCCTGCTGATGCTGCCGCTGACGCCACTAGTGCAATCACTGGTGAACCAGCCGAACCCAGCAACACCCAGCGTGCCTCATCGGTGGCAGCTCTGGTCAGTGGCCATCGCACTTCCACTCTCCACTCCCTCCATCGCCCATCCCTGCTACTAACTCTCCATGTCCCCATTCCCTGCCCACCTTCCTTTGCTCCCTCCCCCCCCTTCCCATCTGATGTTTTACTATCTCTTCGCCTCTGCAATCTCTTCGCCTCTGCAATCCTGCTTGTTTTTCCGTTTGCACTCTCTTCTCCCGTTCACCCTTCTCTCTTGTACACCATCCTTTCCCATCCACCCTCCTCTCCCATCCACCCTCCTCTCCAATCCACCCTCTTCTCCTCTCCCCCAGAGGGCGCAGCGCAAGGCAGCGGGCAGGCGGCACTCGTATGGCGGCCAGGAGCTCACCGCCATGCAAGCCGCACTCACACTCCCGCCCGCCACCCCCGATGCCACTGACGCTGGCAGCACCAGTGACAGCAGCACTGCCGGCAGCGGCAGGGGCAGCAGGGCGAGCAGGCGGCGGGGGGGGACGGGCAGCAGCAGCATGGACGTGCCTGGCCGCCCCGCCACGGCGCTCACCCGCTTCAGCCGCCATGCCAAACCCCCCCTCGCCACGCCCCCCTCCTCCCTCCCCCCCACTGCCTCTGCCACCCCCCTTGCCACGACCCCCCTTGCGTCACCGTCCGCCACCAGTGCGTTCTCAGCCCCTAACCTCCCAGCTCAGGCTGACGCGCCCCCGTCCCACGCCACCCCTGCTGCTGCTGCTGCTGCCGAGGGGGTGGGTGCTGGTGAGTCTGGGAAGGCAAGGCGTGGGAGTGGGAAGGAAAGAGCGGGTGGGAGTGGCAAGGAGAGGGCGCGGGGCATGAAGCAGGTCGAAGCAGAGCTGCAGCAGAGGAGAGAGGCGACCGCAGCCCAGGCAGCAGGCGGCACGGCAGCGACAGCAGAAGCAGAGAGCGGGGCTGACGGGGCGGGGGAGGATGATCCGTGGGGGCAGCAGGTGGGGCAGGTGGCGGTGGTGCGCGGGCAGGTGAGGGCCACATCGCTGGCAGAGCTGTACCGCGCGGCGGGGAGAGGCGGCGACCTGGACGGTGCAAGAAACGTGGCGCCGGCTCACGCCCTCCCCCAGGCGCTGGCACTCGCGTCCACGCCCCCCAGTGTGTGCCACCCCGTGCCCACCCAGCCCCACCCGTGCTTGCAGGCGAACCCCCCCATGGCACCCCACCACGTGCAAAGCCCAGGCGCCGGCCCACCCCCAAACAACTCGCCCCCCTCAGCCGTCTCCCCCGCCACCGTCCCCCCCATCGCTTCCCTGCCTTACCACAACGCCACTGCCCCTTTACCCTCCACCTCTGCTCCTCCTCCTGCCTCCACCTGTGCTCCTCCTCCTCCGGCCTCCGCCTCCGCGGCTCCCCCTTCCCACCACCCCCGCCTTCTGCCTCCTCCCCCCCCGCCTCACACCCCACCCTCCCACCGCGACCTGCTGGTGAGTGGCAGAGGGAAGGGGGACGGCAAGAGGAGAAGGTCATCGTGACATTAGGGGGTCGGGTTGAGGGAGAGGAAGGGAGAGACGGGCGTTGGCACAAGGAAGTGAGCGGTGTGATGCGGGAGTGGTTGTGAAAGTTGGAATTGGAACCAATGTCTTGATTAGAGTAGGAAGAAGCACACGTAGGTGAGAAGACAAGCTTGGAAGAGAAGGTTGGGTTGACCATAGGTTGGGTTTGACCATAGTTGGGTTGACCATAGGTTGGGTTGACCATAGGTTGGGTTGACCATAGGTTGGGTTGACCATAGGTTGGGTTGACCATAGGTTGGGTTGACCATAGGTTGGGTTGACCATAGGTTGGGTTGACCATATGTTGGGTTGACCATAGGTTGGGTTGACCATAGGTTGGGTTGACCATAGGTTGGGTTGACCATAGGTTGGGTTGACCATAGGTTGGGTTGACCATAGGTTGGGTTGACCATAGGTTGGGTTGACCATAGGTTGGGTTGACCATAGGTTGGGTTGACCATAGGTTGGGTTGACCATAGGTTGGGTTGACCATAGGTTGGGTTGACCATAGGTTGGGTTGACCATAGGTTGGGTTGACCATAGGTTGGGTTGACCATAGGTTGGGTTGACCATATGTTGGGTTGACCATAGGTTGGGTTGACCATAGGTTGGGTTGACCATAGGTTGGGTTGACCATAGGTTGGGTTTGCCACACTTTGTGGAAGTGAGGCAGCCTCAGGCCCACTTGGGTTGGGTTGACCACACTTGTAGGAAGTGAGGCAACCTTAGTCCAAGGGAGTTGCAATTGGGGGCTCCACCACAATTGGGTGGATTGGCACCCCACAATGCAAGACTACACCCAAAGTTGGGTGTAGTCCCAACCCAACTGTACACCATGAAGTCACAAGTGTTAGCATGCTAGAACGTATTTTTCTAACAGTGGTGACATCCCTCTCCACCATATCCACGTCAAGGCATGCCACGACAATGCATGCCACGTCAATGCATGCCACGTCAATGCATGCCACGTCAATGCATGCCACGTCAATGCATGCCACGTCAAGGCATGCCATGTCAAGGCATGCCACGTCAATGCATGCCATGTCAATGCCTGCATGCTGTGTCCCTGCATGCCCGTCTCTCCTCTATCATCCCGCCACATGCACGCTGCATGCACGCTGCATGCACGCTGCATGCACGCTGCATGCACACTGCATGCACCCTGCATGCGCCCTGCATGCACCCTGCATGTACCCTGCATGCACCCTGCATGCACCCTGCATGCACCCTGCATGCACCCTGCATGCACCCTGCATGCATCCCATCCCCCCTCTCTCTCATCATGTTTTCACCCCACCGCTCCCTTGTCCCTCTCCTTTCCCCCTCCCTGCCCCTCACTGCTTTCCTCCTCCCCCCTCCCTCCCTCTCCCTCTCGTCTTTCCTGTCCCCCAGAGGGCGCACAAGGCAGCCAACAGTCGCCGCCCGCACTCGCTGGCGGGGGGGGAGTTTGCTGCACTCAGGCTCGCCCACAACCCCACAGGAGGCTCTCCAGAATCCACCACCGCTCTGCACCGCTCTCCACTCTCCTCGTCCTCCCGCCCGATAAATCCCGTTGCTGCTGTCGCCCTGGCCACTCTGCCCCGCCCCTCCACCTCCTCTCCTGCCCCTCCTGCTTCCCCTTCTGCTGGTGCAGCGGATGAGAGTGGGAGTGGGAGGAATCGGCAGAGCAAGAAGGGCATGAGGCAGGCAGCTGGGGCTGGGCCGGCGGCAGCGGTGGTGCAGCAGTGGATGGGAGCGGTGGTGGCAGCACAGCCTGCCATGGTGGCAGCACAGCCTGCCATGGTGGATATTCCACGAGCTGCCACCACGGGCAGCATTCACACCACACCTGCCACCACCGCTGCTGCTGCTGCTGCTGCTCTAAGGAGGTGTGAGTCTGACGATGCGCCCTGCCTGCCCGCTCACGCAGAGCACATGGCGCAGGGAGGGCAGGGGGGCATGCAGGGGAGGGCAGAGCACGTGGCAGCAGCGCCACCATCAGCAGGCGCAGCACCCGCTCTGGCTGCCGGCACGCACATGCCCCACCCCACGGCACTCGCCCATCACCCACCTCTCCCCTCCGCCTTCTCTCGCCCTCTGCTGCACCTTGCTCCCACTGCCCTCGCCTCCTCTTCCCCTGCCATGTCAGCTGGCTCTCCTGTGACGTCCGCAGGGTCGCCTGCCATGTCAGCAGGATCCCCAGCCTCTCTGTCCAATGAGCGCGCGCCACGTGGCGCACAGCAGGCAGCAGCGGTGGCGGAGCTGAGGAGCAAGCTGAGGGTGCTGCTGGCGCCGCCACTGCGTGCAGTGGGGCAGGAAGGCATGAGGGCGTGCGGGGTGGGGGAGTGTCACGATGTGGGCAGGCAGGGAGGAGCATGCAGTGAGGAGGCCCAACTGCCGTCAGCTGTGGCGACTGCACCGCTTGGAACCGCTGCTGACTCAGGCTCTCACTCCTCTGCCGCACAACCCACCTCTGCTCTCCCTGCCACACACGGGTACCCCCCCTCGCCTCCTCCCCTGCACCGCTCGCTCTCAGACCCACACACCCCTCGCCCCCCCACAGCGCCCTTCCCCCTCGTCTCTCCGCCCTCCCCCGGCACCCTCTCAGCGCCGCGCTCGCCAGCCCCCCCACCCTCTGCGCGCGCCCTGGGCTTTGCGTGCGCGCGCCGCCCCTTCATGCTGCCGCCCGACTGGCACATGCCCTCCGGTGCTGCTGAGAGCGCTTGGAGGCCGCGCACTGCAGAGGGGGGGGAGAGGAGGGAGGGGTGTGCGGGCGTTGACGTCAGTGGGGCACCGGGGGCTGCTGCCACGGGGCGTGCATGCAGGGGGGCCAGCAGCAGCGGCAGCAGCAGCAGCCGGGGGCGCAGGCAGCCATTCTGCTCTGACGGCGCGGGAGGTGCTGGCGGCGCTGCGGCGCGTGCCGGGGCCGTACAGCTCAGGGCGGTTCGACGAGGTGGAGGGCGTCGATGACGCCCTGCTGGGCGCCGCTGCCACGCCGCGCTTAGCAGGGGGAGGCGCGGGTGGTGGCGGTGGTGGGCGGCGGAAGAGGTTCAGCGTGCTGGCTGTGGCGCGGGAGGTGGTGGAGCGGGACGGGGCAGGGGGAGGTGGGGGCAGTGGTGATTATGCGAGTGGAGGGGACGGGGAGAGAGGAAAAGGTGGTGGTGCGGAGGAGGGCGGAGGAGAAGTTGAGGAAGGCAGGGAGGACTCAGAGATCGATGGCGATGGGGAGGGCGAGGAGGCGGCACGTGTGCGTATGGAGTGGAGGCGGGTGAGGAAGGAGAGGCAGCTGGTGGAGCAGGAGAGGGGCGAGGTGCAGCGCGTGCAGGGCGAGGTGGCACGCTTCAAGCAGTGGGCACAGGAGGAGCAGCAGCGGCTGCAGGAGGAGAAGCAAAAGGTGAGGATGGCAGTGAGTCAGAGCTGCTTAATAAAGATGGTGAGAGCTGCGGCTGCCAGCGACTAGAAGAGTCATTGTTGTGAGAGAAAAGATCGACGAGGTTCAGAGAGCAAGCACCCAGATGTACTGCAGTTTCCCCTGGTCTGGAATTGAGTCCCAACCTTTGTTCCACTGATTGGGGGAGGCCAACAGTCTGAGTGAAGCCCCCCACCTGCGCCCACCACAGGTGGAGGCGGACAAGCAGCGCCTGGCGCCCTTTGAGGCGCGCCACCGCGCCTGCCAGCACCGCATCGCAGCGCAGGACGCCGCCACGGCCGCCCTGCGAGCGCAGGCCAGCGCGGCCGCCACGGCCACGGCGCATGTGGCAGCGCACACGCACGCCCTGCGCTGCCACCTCGCCTCCGCCGCCCACCTCCTCGCCGCCACCAAGCAGCGCCTCGCTCACGACCGCGCCTCCGTGGCTGGCGCTCTGGCTCGGGCTGCCGAGGCTGAGGAGCGGGCGCAGGCTGCGGAGAGGAGGTTCGGGAAGATGCCGTGGGAGGTGCGGAGCGCTAGTGGCGTGGCGCGGGCGGTGCATGGCGTGGCGGGCCGGCATGGGTCGTACTTGCAGCGCCTGCACGCCCCCGCCATGCGCCTGGCTCGCGTGGTGGCCATGGCATGGCGGGGCGGCACGGGTGAGGGGGCGGGGAAGGGGGCGGGGGTGGAGGAGAAAGAGGAGTTGTGGGGCGAAGTGGGGGAAATGGCGGAGGGGCGAGAGGAGGGCGTGCACGGGGGAGGGGAGGAGGGGGAGGGGAATGCATGGCCAGGGTGGAGTGCGAGCAAGGAAGGGATGGTGGCGGGAGAGGGACAGCGAAGCGAGCAGCGATGTGTGGAGGGCAAGGCGCGTGGGTTGAAAGGGGAGCAGGTGGCAGGCGTGGCGCGCGAGGTGATGCGCGCGCTGCTGCTGGCAGCCCGGGCGGCGAGCGACAACGCCTCGCGGGTGCTGTTCTGGTGGTCCAACACGGCCCTGCTGCGCTCCGCGCTGGCGCCCCTGGTGGCGGAGGAGCAGAGGAGGAAAGGGGAGGAGGGCAGGACGGGTGAGGGGGCCACAGGTGAAGGAGGGGCAGGTGGTGGTGGTGTTGGGAATGGTGGTGGTGGTGCGAATGGTGGTGGTGGTGCGAATGGTGGTGGTGGTGCGAATGGTGGTGGTGGTGCGAATGGTGGTGGTGGTGCGAATGGTGGTGGTGCTGCGAATGGTGGTGGTGCTGCGAATGGTGGTGGTGCTGCGAATGGTGGTGGTGGTGCGAATGGTGGTGGTGCTGCGAATGGTGGTGGTGCTGCGAATGGTGGTGGTGCTGCGAATGGTGGTGGTGGTGCGAATGGTGGTGGTGGTGCGAATGGTGGTGGTGGTGCGAATGGTGGTGGTGCTGCGAATGGTGGTGGTGGTGCGAATGGTGGTGGTGCTGCGAATGGTGGTGGTGGTGCGAATGGTGGTGGTGGTGCGAATGGTGGTGGTGCTGCGAATGGTGGTGGTGCATGCTGGCCCGGCACAGGTGATGGCGACCGGGGAGAGCACCCGGAGCACCCAGAGCGCCCTGAGGACCCGTGGGGCAGCTTGGCTCACCTTGATTCGCAGCTGCTGCAGCTGGAGCAATGGCAGCACGACAGGTGTCTGCACCTGGTGTGGACACGTGTCTTCCTGCCAGCCATGCAGCAGCGCCCCCCTGTGCTGCCGCCTCCCTTCCACCCGCCATCACACACCCCCCCGTTCACCCCCTCGTGGTCCTCTGCCTTGCTCTGCTCCACCTCTGCCGCCCAGCAGTCGTCCCTCTGGCCCTTCTCCACCCCTGCGCCCCCGCCGCCCTCACTCAGAGGTAACTCATTCTTCTCGTTCAAGTTGTGCCTCCTGTCGTTTTGACACTGTAAACGTCTCACCGCTGCTGAAAGGTGGTCTCCTTGTCTTTGCTCATCTTGAGACTCGCATTGGATCGGAAGCTGCACACCTCTCTATGATTCCATGCGCACCTGTCCATGTGAGTCTCAAGTCTCCCTGCATGCCTTGCTCTGTGCATGGTTTCAAGAGCTCCATCCAAGCATGCCTGTGTCCTTGTCAACATCTTCTGTTGGTTACATCCCTAGCCATGTCATCTCCCACTCTTCCCCACATTTCCCTCTCAACCTCTTCCCTCTCTCTCCTCTATCCCTCTCTCCCGCTCTCCCTCTCCCCCCCCTCTGGCCCCGCTCCCGCTCTCCCTCTCTGTGCAGCGGAGGAGGTGCAGGCGCCCTGGTGGGCGGGGCTGAGTGGTACAGAGCGGTGGGTGGCGGTGCTGCACGAGGCGGCTGCCATGCTGTGCCCCCACAGGGCCATGGGGCACCACTGCGGCTGCCTTTACCCTCTTTTTAAGCAGGTCAGAGCTGTCTTTATCCTCTTTTCAAGCAGGTCAGTGCAGCCTTTACCCCTTTTCAAGTAGGTCAGTGCTTCCTCTACCCGCTATTCAAGCAGGTCAGTTCTGCCTCTACCCGCTATTCAAGCAGGTCAGTGCTGCCTTTACCCTCTTTTCAAGTATGTCAGTGCTGCCTCTACCCACTATTCAAGCAGGTAAGTTGAGCCTCTACCCGCTATTCAAGCAGGTCAGTGCTGCCTCTACCCGCTATTCAAGCAGGTCAGTTCTGCCTCTACCCGCTATTCAAGCAGGTCAGTGCTGCCTTTACCCTCTTTTCAAGTATGTCAGTGCTGCCTCTACCCACTATTCAAGCAGGTAAGTTGAGCCTCTACCCGCTATTCAAGCAGGTCAGTTCTGCCTCTACCCGCTATTCAAGCAGGTCAGTGCTGCCTTTACCCTCTTTTCAAGTATGTCAGTGCTGCCTCTACCCACTATTCAAGCAGGTAAGTTGAGCCTCTACCCGCTATTCAAGCAGGTCAGTTCTGCCTCTACCCGCTATTCAAGCAAATCAGTGCTGCCTTTACCCTCTTTTCAAGTATGTCAGTGCTGCCTCTACCCACTATTCAAGCAGGTAAGTTGAGCCTCTACCCGCTATTCAAGCAGGTCAGTTCTACCTCTACCCGCTATTCAAGCAGGTCAGTTCTGCCTCTACCCGCTATTCAAGCAGGTCAGTTCTGCCTCTACCCGCTATTCAAGCAGGTCAGTGCTGCCTTTACCCTCTTTTCAAGTATGTCAGTGCTGCCTCTACCCACTATTCAAGCAGGTAAGTTGAGCCTCTACCCGCTATTCAAGCAGGTCAGTTCTGCCTCTACCCGCTATTCAAGCAGGTCAGTGCTGCCTTTACCCTCTTTTCAAGTATGTCAGTGCTGCCTCTACCCACTATTCAAGCAGGTAAGTTGAGCCTCTACCCGCTATTCAAGCAGGTCAGTTCTGCCTCTACCCGCTATTCAAGCAGGTCAGTGCTGCCTCTAACCACTACTCCATGCCAGCAAGCACCTCCCTGCTTTTGTTGTTGCTACAATTTTGAGTGACTCACCATCATGATTCGACCCTCCTCACAGCGCATGCATACTGCCAGTGAGCCGTCCTTCCCTTGTTCTGTCCTCAACCGCTTTCTTATTACCCTTTCTCAACCTCTTCACCTCACCCCATAACCCCAATAACTTCTTCCCCTCGTTTCGTTCTTCCCCCCCTTCCTCCTCGACGAGGTCACGGCACTCAGCAGCTCGACACTTGTGCTCCACCTTCGTCCCCCTCTTCCCATGCCTTTCCACCTTCGTCCCCTCTTCCCATGCCTTTCCACCTTCGTCCCCCTCTTCCCATGCCTTTCCACCTTCGTCCCCCTCTTCCCATGCCTTTCCACCTTCGTCCCCCTCTTCCCATGCCTTTCCACCTTCGTCCCCCTCTTCCCATGCCTTTCCACCTTCGTCCCCCTCTTCCCATGCCTTTCCACCTTCGTCCCCCTCTTCCCATGCCTTTCCACCTTCGTCCCCCTCTTCCCATGCCTTTCCACCTTCGTCCCCCTCTTCCCATGCCTTTCCACCTTCGTCCCCCTCTTCCCATGCCTTTCCACCTTCGTCCCCCTCTTCCCATGCCTTTCCACCTTCGTCCCCCTCTTCCCATGCCTTTCCACCTTCGTCCCCCTCTTCCCATGCCTTTCCACCTTCGTCCCCCTCTTCCCATGCCTTTCCACCTTCGTCCCCCTCTTCCCATGCCTTTCCACCTTCGTCCCCCTCTTCCCATGCCTTTCCACCTTCGTCCCCCTCTTCCCATGCCTTTCCACCTTCGTCCCCCTCTTCCCATGCCTTTCCACCTTCGTCCCCCTCTTCCCATGCCTTTCCACCTTCGTCCCCCTCTTCCCATGCCTTTCCACCTTCGTCCCCCTCTTCCCATGCCTTTCCACCTTCGTCCCCCTCTTCCCATGCCTTTCCACCTTCGTCCCCCTCTTCCCATGCCTTTCCACCTTCGTCCCCCTCTTCCCATGCCTTTCCACCTTCGTCCCCCTCTTCCCATGCCTTTCCACCTTCGTCCCCCTCTTCCCATGCCTTTCCACCTTCGTCCCCCTCTTCCCATGCCTTTCCACCTTCGTCCCCCTCTTCCCATGCCTTTCCACCTTCGTCCCCCTCTTCCCATGCCTTTCCACCTTCGTCCCCCTCTTCCCATCCCTTTCCACCTTCGTCCCCCTCTTCCCATGCCTTTCCACCTTCGTCCCCCTCTTCCCATGCCTTTCCACCTTCGTCCCCCTCTTCCCATGCCTTTCCACCTTCGTCCCCCTCTTCCCATGCCTTTCCCTGCTCCGCCTCACACACCCTCTCTCTCTCTCTCTCCCTTTCACCACCCCTCTTCACCATCCCCTTCGCCCTCCCCCCACACCAGGTGCTGCAGCAGTGCCAGCAGCGGCTGGACGCGGCACTCTTCAACGCGCTGCTGCGCTCCGGCAACGACGTGCTCTCCACCGACCCTGCCGCCGACCCTCTCACCGACCCTGCCGCCCTGCCCTTCCCCGCCAATGGCCGCTTCTGGGCCGCCCAAGGGGGGCTGCTGAAACACACTGTAAGGGGGACTGTTAGGGGGGTTGCTGAAACGCGCTGCAGAGGGGATAACTGAAACACAAGGGGATGGCGTGCACACATGCCATTGTATCCTTACATAGCTTCAATGTGGTCCCGCCTTTCCACCATGCCCCTGTGCCCACTCTCTCTCCCCGCCCCCCATGGCACCCCACGGCACGGCACCAGGTGTCGGAGTGGACTGACTTCCTCGCAGACATGGACGCGCATGTCGCCTCACACTGCCACGCCGCCGCCGCTGCTGCTGCCACACATCCCGGGGCCGCCCGCGCTTCGCCCCCGTCGCCCATCGTCCCCCCGCCCACCATCCCGCTCACCTTGCTCTCCTCCGCTCGCTTCTGGGCGGGCCAGCTGGAGCTCTTTGATTGGCCAGAGGGCGCAGAGGGGCAGGGCGGGGCAGGAAAGCAAGGACATGGAAATGGACTGGTGGGGCAGGGAGAGGGGTGGAGAGCGGTGATAGGTGGTGATGCCATGGCAGGTGCAGCGGCGCGGAGCAGTGGGGGGTGTGAAGCGGGCACGGGTCAGAGAGGGCACGACCCCGCGGCGCTGCTGCTGCTGGAAGGGCGCGAGGGGAAAGGAGGGGAGGAGAGAGGCGTGGAGCAGCAGCTGATAGGCGGGCGGGTGGAGTGCTTCCCACTGCTGCGCGCGCTGGCCCACGTGCTGCTGCTGCCCAAGAAGGCCCTCTGCGACCGCCCTGTGCGCCGCGAGGTGCGGGGGCAGGGGGGGACGACATTGGCGGGGAGAGCAGTGTGATCGAAGAGTGGGACGAGAGGGGTGCGAGGGATGAGAGGAATGAGGGGGGAGAGAGGGGTGAGCAGTGGTGTGGGTGACAGTGTTACTGCATTGTTCACGTGAGACGCTGTGCCTCATGCTTGTGCATCCACAGCATGTGCACGTCAGTGTGTCGTGTGTTTTGCTCACCCATGGCATGCATGTCGCCATGCCCGCCCATGCAGGTGTACGCCACCATCCCGGCGCCGCTGCTGCAGCGCGTCGTGAGCATGTGTGTGGAGCAGCCGTCCCACCCCGACCCCATCCCTCCCGTGCTGCTCGACATGCTGCATGCCGAGGTGAGTGCTGCATGCCGAGGTGAGTGCTGCATGCCGAGGTGAGTGGTGCATGCCGAGGTGAGTGCCGCCCCACATGCTCAGGCCGCCCCTGACGTTAGGCTGCCCCACGTTCTGCTGTACATGATCAGGCATCACATGCATTGTCTGTTCTCTCACCTGCAAGCCCATCCCCCCATTCCGCCCCTCCCACCTCCCGCTGCTCCTGCTGCCCCTCCTCGCCTGCACCCTCCCCAGGCCAACACCTCTGCCCACGCCATCCACTTGCTGCCAGTCTTCGACCCCGCCCCCCTGCCCCCCACGCCCTACTGCCCGCCGCCCACCTCCCCCCTGCATGCGCTGCTGGGGGCGGCTGCACCGGGCGCGGTGGGCGTGCAGCAGGGGGGGCTGGAGGGCGGGAAGGGGGCACGGCACGGAGAGGTGCCGATGGAGTGAATGCGGCACGGAGAGGTGCCGATGGAGTGAATGCGGCACGGAGAGGTGCCGATGGAGTGAATGCGGCACGGAGAGGTGCCGATGGAGTGAATGCGGCACGGAGAGGTGCCGATGGAGTGAATGCGGCACGGAGAGGTGCCGATGGAGTGAATGCGGCACGGAGAGGTGCCGATGGAGTGAATGCGGCACGGAGAGGTGCCGATGGAGTGAATGCGGCACGGAGAGGTGCCGATGGAGTGAATGCGGCACGGAGAGGTGCCGATGGAGTGAATGCGGCACGGAGAGGTGCCGATGGAGTGAATGCGGCACGGAGAGGTGCCGATGGAGTGAATGCGGCACGGAGAGGTGCCAATGGAGTGAATGCGGCACGGAGAGGTGCCGATGGAGTGAATGCGGCACGGAGAGGTGCCGATGGAGTGAATGCGGCACGGAGAGGTGCCGATGGAGTGAATGCGGCACGGAGAGGTGCCGATGGAGTGAATGCGGCACGGAGAGGTGCCGATGGAGTGAATGCGGCACGGAGAGGTGCCGATGGAGTGAATGCGGCACGGAGAGGCTGAGGGGCCAGAGCAGCAGCGACGAGGTTGCAGGTGCGGGGATGAGTGTGTGCAGGCGAGGCAAGTGTGCCAGTGCGGCAGCGGTTTTCCCTGACAGCTGGGCCGAGTGACTAGGAGCTGTGACTGCTGCACCCCACTGCTGCACCCCACTGCTGTACTTGCCCAAAAGCCGAAAGTACTGCCACAGCCACTGCATGTCCCTCGGATTGGATTCAGGCCACTCTGATTGATCAGTGCTCCCCCCAAAAAAATTGCATCCCAGTCAGAGCTGGGTGAAAAAGTATACCATAAAACCATCAGTATATACAGCCCGCCAAATAAATGCACCTATGGGGGGCTTATGTGGGCGGAAGGCTTTATTGTGGTATTTTAAATGATTAACCATAGTATTTATTTCACTATTTCTACTAAACTTTTCTTCATTAGTTGTGCTGTAAGGTGGGGAGGGGAACCTTTGCCAGTTTTTTTCTCAAAGTTGTTTGTTGTAGAACCCTTTTTTCCAGCAATGGTTCACGTAGGGCTGATATTTCAGAATGGTTCCGACTGATGCGAAACGAATCTGATGAAACCAGTGACTGGGGGGAGGGGTGGGGGAGGGAGGGGGGGAGGGGGAAGGGTGTCAAAATAACTGTGCAGCAATGATTGGATTAGCAAGAGTTGGGGACAAGACCAGTCAAGCAAGACAACAGAGCAAAGCAAAACAAAGCTCGGGGTGGATATCAAGGACACACCACACAATCCGAGCACAAGCAAGCGGCCACAAGGCCAGTTCACATGCAGAGGTACAGTACACTGGTCACAACCTAGCAAAGCGAATCATGCAGGTATAATACTGATAAAAGTGCACAACAAGTGCAAGATCAAGAGACAAGCAGGTAAGGTAGAACGGGCAGAAGCCCAAGAGCAGCGATAAAACGCTGAACATCACCAGACCCGAGGGCCTTGGTGAAGACATCAGCAGTGTTGGACGGAGAGGCCACGTAGGAAAGGCGAACCTGACCACGCTGCTGCAACTCTCGAGCAAAAAAGTAGCGAAGAGCAATGTGCTTCGTTCTGTGCTCCAGTCTCTGCTCCCGACATAAGGCAAGCATGGCCTTGTTGTCAACGTACAGAACCGGAGGAGAACGGGGCCGCTCCCCCAAGTCGATCAGCAAGTAGGTCAGCAAGCGTAGCTCCTGTGCAGCCATGGCCCCAGCGATCTCGGCCTCACATCTGGAACCTAGCACAGAAGAAGAACGAGTGGACCTTTACGAAACAGAACCAGAGCAAGACTGAAGGTGTAACCCTGTAACAAACTCCAAGTCACCTGGTCGTTGGCCCAAGAAGCGTCGGAGTGTCTCGTGAGTACCACTGAACCCCATCTTCCAAGCACGAGGCCCATGCCCGATGTACCACACAATTAACACAATACCCACTTCGCAACATCCCAGTGCACCTTTCGGTGTCTTCCGGGAGCCACGTAGCGAGCCAGGAGACTGAGAGGGTACGCGAGGTCACGTCGTGTGCATGTCACTAGGTACATGAGGCAACCCACAAGCCCTGGGTACGGACCACTCGGCTCTACGGACTCGTTCGAAGGTGGAGCTGAGAGCTAGTGGTCGGTAGACAGAGGAGTGGGCTATGGCGAGGAGTGCTGGAAGCCGTAGCGCCGAAGGACCTGGTGCACCATGTATGACTGAGTCAGGGTGATGGTGCACCGTGCTCTTTCCCGGGTGATCTGCAAGCCAAGATAGCTACGCAGCTCACCTAGGTCAGTGCAGGTGTCTCTCCTGCAACTCCGCCTTCACTAGGGCCAGCGCGTCAGTCTCACCAATAGCAAAAACCACGTCGTCAATGTACATAAGAACATAGACCGGCAGCAGGGTAGTGTCGGTGCATAGAAACAGCGACAGGTCAGCAGAGGAAGGAGCAAACCCAAGAGTCGCAAGTGTAATCCTCAGTGTGTCGTGCCACTTGCGTTGCGCCTGGCGGAGACCGTAGACTGGCCGCTGGAGGCTCCACTGGGTACCCACAGGAATGACCCAGTGAAGCCAGGTGGGCGGCGCAGCCAGATCTCCTCGTGCAGGCTGCCCTGCAAGAAAGTTGTGGAGAAGTCGAGGGAGTGCAGCTCGTAGTCACGTTGTGCTGCAACGTGTAGCAACACCCGAAGAGTAGTCATCTTCGGGGTGGGGGAGAAGGTATGGAAGTAGTCGATCCCCTGTCGCTGACTGAAGCCTCGAGCAACGTAACGCGCCTTGAAGGAATACGGAGAACCCGGCAGCCGCTTCACTCTAAATATCCACATGCCATCGACTATGTTCGCCCCAGGAGGAGGAACCTCGTCGACGTAGGTGCCTGTGGACTTCCAGGATGCCGTCTCTGCACCCATGGCTGTCTGCCACTCAGAGGAGTACTCACTCGCGATCGCCTCAGCGTAAGAGCCCAGGGTTGGGATGTCCAGTGCATCCGGGTCTCCCTCAGGGCAAAGTAGCATGGATGCGAAACGAGGTACAGCGGCCGCAAGAAACTCAAGCTCAAACTGCCTCCCCTCAAGGACGCCACTGCCAAGGGCAGGCTCACCTCCGACGGACGGAGGACATGTCAAAGCATATATGCTTATGTGCTTTAGGCTATATGGGTGTTAGCACTAGGGGGTACAAAATCTCTCGATGTTGTTCTTGTACCCCTCCCCCTTGACATAATCACCAACTATTCTCCTTAGTATTCTAACATGGTATAGAGCATGTAGGTCCGTTAGGACTGTTTTTTTTTTCTAAGAACTTGCCCCTTGCGCTGCCCGTAGCGCGCCTCTAGTGCGTACCTTCTCGCTGCCCGTCGATCGCCCCTAGCGCGCGCCGTATTTTCTGCCCGAACCGAGTAGATACCTACCCCGCGCGCGCCTCGGTTACTGCTCTTCGTGCGCCACGTACGTTGCCCCGCACGCGTCCCAATCGCTGCCTAACACGCGCCCCGTACGCTGCCCCACACACGCCCTATTCGTTGTCCGTCGCGCGCCCCATTTCCTCCCTAGCGCGTGGCCCGTACGCCCTACCCTGCCCTTCCCCGTGCCTTACCGTATGCCCTGCCCTACCGCGCGCAGTTCGTACAGCCCGCGCGCCCCTCTCGTACAGCCCGTACAGCCTGCGCGCCAGCCGCACGCAGCCCGTACAGCCCACGCCAGGCCCGCACGCAGCCCATAGAGCCCGTGCCAGGCCCGTGCGCACCTGCCCTGCCGCCTCGCACCTGCACTGCTGCCATACTGCCGTCTGTACTGCTGTGGCTGCGCTACTGCTGCTACCTACGCTACTGCTGCTGCTGCACTACTGTCATTGCCCTGCACAGTGTAGTGCCAGCAAGCGCGGCTGCCCTGCCGTGCTTGCACGTGTAAGCTCTGCCCCGTGCACCTGCCCTGCTCCGCGCTGCTGCTCTGCACACGCGGCTGCCCTGCCTTGCCCCGCACTGTTGCACTGCACGTCACGTGCCCCTGCCTGTACACCGCCCTGCTGGCATCCGCCCTGCCCTGCCCTGCCCGCGCGCTGCCCTGCTGGCCGCGCCGCCCTGCCCTGCCTGAGCGCCACTAACAGCCGCGCCACAGAGCCCTGCTGACTGCCGCTCTGCCCTGCTCTGCCTGCGAGCCGCCCTGCTGGCCACCGCCGTGCTTTGCCCTACCTGCCGGCTGCCCTGCTGCTAGCGCACTTTGCTGCTAGCGCGCCCGACTACTCTGCCCGCCATGGCCACGCTCAGTGTTCTTACCTTTGATCTGGAGGACCGCCCGATAGAGTTCGACACTTGGCTCGACGACTTACAGCTGTATCTACTGAGAGATTCCAAGGACGGTTTTTCACTGTTAGACCTCACGTCTAGCGCCTCTCTCGCCCCTGCCGCCACAGCTGACAGTGTAGCTCGCTCACAGTGGCTTACTCGTGACGCTGCTGCTCGCCTAGCTGTTCGCAACCACTTGCCGTTAGCCGAACGCGCTCACTTCGGACAGCACAAGACTGCGAAAGCACTGTACGATGCTGTAGTCGCTCGTTACTCCTCCCCGGCCAATGTTGCTCTAGGCCATCTTCTCCTGCCCTACCTGTTCCCCGAGCTGTCCGCCTTTGCCACAGTAGCCGGCCTTTGTCACTTACCTTCGCATTAGTGACACTTGCTACCGCGCTGCGCTTTCCGCCTAGTTTCTCACAAAGAACCCTCCTCCCATGTACATCACTCTCTACTTCATAGTCACCCGCCTCCCTGACTCTCTTAGCGCTGTCAGGGACCTCCTTCTCGCCCTTGACCCCACTGTCGACCTGCTCGAGAAGCACCTCCTAGCAGTTGAGACTCGTGGCACTCCTCGCACTCCCTTCTTTGAGGGAAGCCCTCCCCCCTGGTCCCCTCCGTCGCCTCTACTAGAGCTGTTGACTACTTTCGTGCTGAGGAGGTAGGAGCCGCGTCTGCCCCTAGTGGGAGGCGCCGCGGTGGCAGGGGCAGGGGAGGCAGGGGCGGTGCGGGTGGCAGAGGTGGAGGCAGTGGTGGGAGCAGTGGAGGCGGTGGAGGGGGCGGCGGTGGTGGAGGACGTGGTGGTGGGGGTGGAGGCGTAGGTGGCAGCGGTGGTGGCGGTGGTGGGTTTGGTGGCGGCGGTGGTGGTGGCGGCAGTGGGAGTGGAGGAGGCGACGGTGGTGGCGGCCGGGGTGGTACCAGCCAGAGGGGAGGCCTTGGTGCTGGTCAGCGGCAGCAGCAGCAGCGTCTTTCACCTCAGGAGCTACATGAGTGGTTTGCGCAGCGTGGGGCGGCTGGGGGTAGCGGTCGCTGCCCGTATGTCATTCGCACAATTGACCGCACTTGTCAGACATGCGAAAAGCTCCACACCCAGCACCGCTGCTCCTCTCGCCTTGACGACGCCTTCCGCATAGAGTTTCCAGACGCGACTGAGCTCCCCCGTTGGGCAGAGCTGCTTAGGCAGGGTGTGGATATCTTTGCTCTTAATTATGATGCTATCCTTGCTGCCATGTATGCATTGACTTTTAGTGCTGAGGGTGACTGTTACCTGTGTATGTCGCTAGGCCCAGGTATAGAGGCTGTTTCTCTAGGTGCTAGTGAGTCTGCTGCTTCGGGTGATGGCGAGTCTGCTCTCTCTGGTACTGCGTTTGCTGCGGCCTTGCACACATTCACACTTGACTCAGGTGCTTCCTGTTGTTTCTTTCGCGACAGTACTACAGTCACATTGCTCTCTGCACCTGTTGCTGTCTCTCTGGCTGATCCCTCTGGGGGTCCAGTCCTTCCACGTTCCTCCACTGTTCTGCCGTGTCCGGCGGTTCCATCTGGCTTGCTCAGGTCTTCACCTCCCCTCGTTCTCTACGAACTTGGTGAACAACGCCGTCCCTCAGGATGAGTAGGTTGATACCTTCACCCCTGGAGGACAGCGTGTGGCGATCTGTACGTGCTCCCGGACTGGCAGGCACCTGGCCACGTTCTTATCGGCCTGGGTCGAGTCTGTACACACTGACTACTGCGCCCCCTCAGGTAGCTGCGTCCGCGTCTGCGTCAGGTCAGCTAGCGGCCCCCTGCTCGTGTTGCGCCTTGTCGCACCAGACGCTCCTTTGGCACCACCGCCTTGGTCACCCCTCCGTGGCACGCCTCCGTGACATGCACTCCCGTCTCCTTGTCTCTGGTCCTCCCAGATCTCTAACTCCCCTCCCGCCCTCGCCTGCCCCTCCCAGACTTTCCTGTGTCAAGGGGTGGCAGTGTGCCGCTCCTCACTCCTCCTCGTTTCCTCTGACGATTGCTCCCCTGCAGACTCTTCACATGGACGTATGGGGCCCAGCCCGCGTCCATGGACAGGGCTGCGATCGGTACTTTCTGCTGGTTGTTGATGACTACTCGCGTTACACCACGGTCTTCCCCTTGTGCAGCAAGGGTGAGGTCCCTGATGTTTTGATCCCTTGGATCCGCGCTGTCCGTCTCCAGCTCCGCGAGCGGTTCGACTCGGACCTTCCTGTCCTGCGTCTGCACTCTGACAGAGGTGGTGAGTTCTCCTCCAACCTCTTGCGGGACTTTTGTCGTGGGGAGGGCATTCGCCAGAAGTTCACGCTTCCGGCCTCTCCGCAGCAGAATGGGGTTGCTGAGCGCCGCATTGGCTTATTCATGGAGGTCGCTCGTACCTCCATGATTCATGCGGCTGCCCCCCATTTTCTGTGGCCGTTTGCAGTCTGATACGCCGCGCATCAGCTCAACCCCCGTGTCTCCTTGCCAGAGACCTCGCCGATTGCGTTGGACGGGAGAGGTTGGCGATGCGTCGGTGTTCCGGGTCTGGAGATCTCGTGCCTTTGTCCGCGAAACTTCCGCGGACAAGCTCTCCTCCCGCGCCATTCCCTGTGTCTTCCTTGGCTTTCCCCCTGACGCGCCTGGCTCGCAGTTTTACCACCCCACCTTGCGCCGTGTCCTCCCCTCTCAGGACGTCACGTTTGACGAGTCGGTTCCCTTTTACAGTCTCCTCCCCTACCGCACTGACCCTCTCCCCCCCCCCCCCCCCCCCGCCGCTCTTCCTCGCACCTTGTCCTCCTCCGGTAGAACCCCTCCCCCCTCAGGGTCCTGCTCTCTCAGGTGTGTCCCAGGTAGACCCTGTCGAGCCTGTCGAGGTAGCTGTTGACTCTGGTGCTGCTAGGGGTGCTGCGCCTAAGGGTGCTGAGCCTGGGGTTGCTGCGTCTGAGGGTGTGGAGCCTGGGGGTGCTGAGCCTGAGCATGCGGAGCCTGGGGGTGCGAAGCCTGGGGTTGCTGAGCCTGAGTGTGCGGAGCCTGGGGGTGCTGAGCCTAGGGGTGCTGAGCCTGAGCGTGATGAGCCTGGAGGTACTTTGTTTACTAGAGGTCCTCCGGGTGTCTCGTCACGGCGGGAGCCTCTCTCCAGTGCAGCTGCGCGAATGGTTTTCTCGGCGCTGGAGCCTCCGTAGTGGCGCTGCTGGAGCGAAGGGGCCTGCTGCTAGAGGCCTTGGAGCTAGAGGTGCTACCGGCGCTGGAGCTAGAGCTACTGGAGGTGCTGGAGCCGCTGGTCGCGGAGGTGCTCGTACTGGAGGTACTGGAGCTGCTGGAGCTGGAGGTGCTGCCGCAGCTGGAGCTGCTGGAGGTGCTGCAGGAGTTGGAGCTGGAGCTGATGGTACTGCGGGCGTTGGAGCTGGAGACCCTGGAGCTGGAGGAGCTGGCCCTGGGGGTGCTGGTGTTGTTAGAGCGTCGTGAGCCTGCGTCGTGCCCTGCCTCGCCTGTTCGCACTGGTCGAGCTGGTCGACGTGTTCCGCGTCCGCGTCCTCCTCCTGTTCCTGGCACGCACCATATGGCACTTCGTCCTTCCTCTGTTCCACTGCGATTTCCCCTGCCGTCTCCTTCTGCGCCCTCTCTTGTTGATGCATCGGACCCTGAGTCTAACTTACTTTGTGCTGCAAGTCCTACCGTCACACGTCTTCTGGCCACTTTTGTCCTTGACCCTTCGTTTGAGTCCACTGCTGCGTCTGCCTAAGTTGCTGAGCTTTTTGACTTGGCTGCCGCTTGTCGTCTCGACTTCGCAGCTTGTCTTGTTGCTGAGTCTGAGTCTGTCTGTCCTCTGTCCGTCGGGGGTGAGTGCGCTCTTGGCACGGACGTCCTTGAGGACAGGCAGGAGGGCTTTGAGTGTTTTGCGGTTGCTGTACCTCATCTCGTATCCATGCTGATTGCACCTGAGGGAGACCCGGATGCACCAGACATCCCGACTTCGCGCACATACGCAGAGGCGATTTCGGGTCCCTACTCCTCTCAGTGGCAGACAGCCATGGATGTAGAGATGGCATCCTGGAAGTCCACATGCACTTATGTCGACACAGTTCCCCCTCCTGGGGCGAACATAGTCGATGGCATTTTCAGTGTGAAGCGGCCGAAGGGTTTTCCGCCTTCCTTCAAGGCTCGTTACGTGGCACGAGGCTTCAGTCAGTGACAGGGAGTTGACTTCTTCCAGACTTTCTCCCCTACCCCGAAGATGACCACTCTTGGGGTATTGCTGCACGTCGCTGCTCAGCGTGACTACGAGCTTCACTCTCTTGACTTTACTTGCTGGAAGTCGAAGCGCTGAAGGCACTTCAGCCTTGTGATCATCAGCATTTCTGTACTGTTTTAGGCCTTGTACCTACTTGGCCTCACTTGCTTACTTCTTGACTTTGTTTGTACTGTGATCGATATACATATACCTGCATGCTTGCACTTGCTAGGTTTTGATCACTGTACTGCTTGTTCTCTATTATATAACTCTGCATGTGAACTGGCCTTGTGGCCATTCCCTTGTGCTCAGAGTGTATGGTGACTTTGTGATCCATCCTGAGCTTGCTTTGTTTTTTGTTTCTCTTGACTGGTCTTATGACCATTGCTTTCTCTGGCTATCCCCCATTTCGCCTATGGGGGTGTGTCAAAACATATATGCTTATGTGCTTTAGGCTATATGGGTGTTAGCACTAGGGGGTACAAAATTTCTCTCGATGTTGTTCTTGTACCCCCTCCCCCTTGACCTAATCACCAACTATTCGCCTTAATATTCTAACAGGACAGACAGATTCAGACCCAGTAACAAGACTCGCGACGTAGTCGAGACGACTCCTAGCTGCAAAGTCGACTAGCTCAGTGACTAGGGCAAACGCAGCAGTAGACTCAAAGGTAGGGTCAGTGACGACAATAGCGAGGAGACGAATGACAGTAGGACTGGCACGACGATCAAGGTCGGACTCAGGGTTAGGAACGTGCGGAAGAGAGGATGCGGGAGGCTCAGGCAGGACAACACGATGTGGAACAAAGGAAGTACGAAGTGCCATACCGTGAGTGCCTGGGACAGCAGGAGGACGAGAACAGGCGACACGACGAGCACGAACAGGTGTGGATGCATGAGTTTCAAGCTCACGACGCTCAGTCAGGGACTTTGTCACCTCAGTGTGAGGAGCAGGAGCAGTTAGCGGGGAGCCAGGCAGTAGCTGTGGCTGAGACTGGTCTGTCGGTGGACACTAGAGAGGTGGAGTGAGGCCAGCAGAAGACGGGAGACTAAGAACTTGGCGAGTCAGGCGGCGGCATGGACAACTGCGGCTTCGGGTAGAAAAACAGTCGCCTCGGGGCAGAACCATCAGCTCCAGCTCCTCCAACTCCTCCAGCACCAGCAGCACGAGAACCTCCAGCACCAGCAGCACCACGAGCTCCGGCAGCGCCAGCACCTATAGCACCAGCAGTACCTCCAACACCAGTGCCAGCAGCTCCAGTAGCACCACCAGCACCTCCAGCACCAGCAGCACCACCTGCTCCGGTAGCTCTAGCACCTCTAGTACCTCCAGCTCCAGCGCCTCCAGAACTTCTAGCACCTCTAGCACCAGCAGCACCACCAGCTCTGGCAGCTCCAGTACCTCCAGTACGAGCACCTCCAAGACCAGCAGCTCCAGCACCTCCAAAACCTCCAGCTCCAGCGCCTCTAGCACCAGCTGTACCTCCAGCACCTTCAGCACCTCCAGCACCAGCAGCACCAGCACCTCCAGCACCAGCTGGACCTCCAGGACTAGCAGCTCCGAGACCTTAAGCACTAGTAGCACCTCCATGACTAGTAGCTCCGGCACCTCCAGCACCAGCAGCACCTCCAGTACCTCCAGGACTAGCAGCTCCAGCACCTCCAGCACCAGCAGCACCTCTAGTACCTCCAGTACCAGCAGCACCTCCAGCACCTCCAGTAGTACCCCCAGTACCAGCAGCACATCCAGCACCTCCAGCAGTACCTCCAGCACCTCCAGCACCAGCAGTACCTCCAGCCGGGTCACCCACAGCTCCACCACCACAAGTACTCGCAGCACCCCCAGAGTCAGCACCCCTAGTCGCAACACCCCCAGAACCCTCACACTCTGTCTCAGCACCCCCAAAACCCTCATCCCCAGGCTCAGCACCAGCAGTCTCAGCTCCAGAGTCCACATCAGCAGGCTGCGGAGGCGGCCGAGGCGAAAAACCAGGGGGAGTCTCTAGGCGTGGAGAGTGGCGAGTGGCCGCTGTGTCGTCAGCGGTGGGGTCACCCCCCTCAGTGGGGCCAGAGGAGTCAGAAGAGACCAAAGGCTCAACCAAGCGGGGTGGGTCCACCTCAGACACACCTGAGGGAGCAGGACCTTGTGGGGGGAGGGGGTCTACTGGGGGGGGGACTGGTACCAGGAAGAGAGGCGCTAGGGGGACCATGTGGGACGCGTGCGGGTGTTGCATGTAGAAACAGACTGACTCGTCAAAGGTGATGTCCTGGGAGGAGAACACGCGACGGTCGCGCGGGTAGTAGAACTGCCATGGCGGGGCGTCGGTGGGGAAGCCAAGGAAGTTGTAGCAGAGAGTGCGAAAGGAGAGCTTGCTCGCTTTGGCATCGTGAACAAGGGAGAGTGCCCCTCGGACCCGAAACACCGACAAATTGCTAACCTTCCCCGTCCACCGGAGGGTGGGCGAGGTCTCTGGCTCAGAGACACAGGGCCAGAGGTTGAGCTGATGCGCAGCGTATCGGACCACAAACGGCCACAGAAAATGGGGAGTAGCTGCATGGATCATGGAGGTACGAGCAACCTCCATGATCAAGCCGATGCGACGCTCAGCAATTGCATTCTGCTGAGGAGATGCCGGAAGCATGAACGTCTAGTGGATGCCCTCAATTCGACAGAACTCCTCAAGGAGGCCAGAAGAGAACTCACTGCCCCTGTCAGAGTGTAGACGCAGGACTGGAAAGTCCCGACGAAACCGCTCGTGCAGCTGGCGACGAGTAGCACGGATCGAGGGGATCAAAACACCACTGACGTCCGCCTTACGCCGCAAGGGGAAGACAGTGGTGTAGCGTGTGTAGTCGCCAACAATCAGCAAGAAGTAGCGCTCCTGGTCCGTTCCACCGACAGGGGCCAGGCCCCAAACGTCCATGTGGAGAGTCTGTAGAGGAGCAGTGGTCGGAGGAAACTCGAAGGAGTGAGGAGTGGCGCGCTGCCGCCCCTCGACGCAGGGAAGGCAGGGCAGCATAGGCGAGCGTGAGAGGGAGGGCAGGGACCTGGGAAGCCCAGAGACAAGGAGACGGGAGTGCATGATGCGGAGACGCGGCAGTGAGGGGTGACCGAGGCGGTGGTGCCAGAGGAGATTATGCTGGGAGAGCACCCGACACGAGCAAGATGCTGCAAGCTGACCAGATGCAGACACCTGACTCGACACATCCACCTGACCTGACTCAGCCACCTGTGCAGACGCAGTGGTCAGTGTGTACAGACTAGACCCAGGCCGTCGAGTGAATGTAGCTAGGTGACGGCCAGTCCGGGAGCACATACAGATTGCCACACGCTGCCCTCCAGGAATAAAGGTATCAACCCAGACATCCTGAATGGCAGCGTTGCTCACCAAGTTCGTAGAAAACGTGGGGAGGTGGAGACATGACAGAGAACCGGAAGGGGACTGCTGGACACGAGAGTACTGTGGAGGCTCGTGCGACTACTGGGCCCCCAGTGGGGTCAGCCAGTGAGACTGGTACCGGTGCAGCAAGAGGTGTGAGTGTGGTGCAGTCACGAAAGAAGCAACGTGACGCGCTTGAGTCAAGTGTGAAAGTGTGCAAGGCCTCAGCTGAGGCAGGACCTGTGGCGGTAGACGCACGAGCACCTAAAGCTGCAACAAACTCACTGGCACCTGGAGCAGCAGCAGACTCACTAGCACCGAGTGCGGCAGCAGACTCTCTAGCACCAGGAGCGGCAGCAGACTCTCTAGCACCAGGAGCGGCAGCAGACTCACTAGTACTGAGTGCGGCAGCAGACTCACTACCACCTAGAGCAGCAGCCTCTACAGAACCAGCGACACATCGCTGAGAAACAAACTAACTAAGCAACTGCGGGGAGAAGGTCTCCTGATGACTCCGCTGCCGCCTCTGTGCAGTACACAGAAAACCAAAGCCTCCACCACATGGACGGGCTCGCTGCATTACCCACTCACGAAGCTGCTGAGGGGTGGGGTCGTCTGTGATAGTGGCCATGACAGTCAGTGACGGTCAGTAGTAGGTCCAACACCTCCAGCACCAGCAGCACCTCCACCACTCCCAGTCGTAGCTCCAGCACCTCTAGCACCAGCACCACCTCCAGCACTCCCAGCAGCACCTCCACCAAGAGCAGCAGTAGCACGAGCAGCAACAGCCACAGTAGTAGCAGCAGAGCGGCTCGGTGGGGCTAGGCGGCGGCACCTCTAGTACTCCCAGCAGCACCTCCACCAGCAGCAGCAGTAGCACAAGCAGGGCAGCTCGGGTTGGGCAGGGCGGCGCGACGCGCGGGCTGCAGCAGGCGCGACGCGCGGGGCAGCAGAGCGCAACCGCGAGCTGCCGTAGGGCGCGACGCGCGGGCTGCAGCAGGGCGCGACGTGCTGGGAAGCAGGGTGCGACGCGCGGGCTGCAGCAGGGCGCGACGCGCGGGGCAGCTGAGCGCGACGCGCGGGCTGCCGTAGGGCGCGACGCGTGGAGCAGCCGAGCGCGACGCGCGGGCTGCAGCAGGGCGCGATGCGCAGGGCAGCATGGCATGACGTGCGGGCTGCAGCAGGGTGCGACGCGCGGAGCAGCAGAGCGCGACTCACGGGCTGCAGTAGGGCGCGACGCGTAGGGCAGTAGGGCGCGAACCCTGCAGACAGGGCGCGCTGGGGCAGGAGCTGCTCGCGGGCAGAAGGGGCGTGTTGGGGCAGGAGCTGCTCGCGGGAAGAAGGGGCGCGCAGGGCAGGGGCTGCTCACAGGAAGCAGTGGCGCGCGGGGCAGGGGCTGCTCGCAAGCAGCAGGGGCGCGCGGGGCAGGGGCTGCACGCGGGCAGTAGGGGCAGGTGGGGCAGGGGCTGCTCTCGAGCAGTGCGCTAGGGCAAGCAGTGGGAGTAGCTGCAGGGCAGCGTGCCACTGTGCGAGAGGGCCGGACAGCGCGAGGGCGCTTTGGGCAGGAACTTAGCAAGACGATCGGTGGGCCCTAAAAACTTAACAGGTTTCCTACTCTGAATACCATGTTAGAATAACTGTGTAGGAATGATCGGATTAGCAAGAGTTGGGGCACAAGTACTAACCCTAGAAGTGCTGTACCCCATAAGGAGTGCCCCACTATAGCCTACAAGTAAGATTGTACTTTGATCAAGGGGAGGATCTGAGGGTCCAGCACAACATTCTCCAAAGTTTTTGCCGGAATCAGCGTCAAATTGTCAGATTCTACGACCGTGCGCGTCGCTTTGACGGGCCGGACCGCCCCAACACGGCGCAGCGTGGCAGCAAAAATCAAGACCACGACAGTGTAACATCTATCCACCACTGAATCATATCCGCCTATCATCTCTCACCCTCTGCACACTCTCCACCAAACCGTCGAGGAAGTGGTCTCTGACCGAGGGAAAGGAGTCAGGGAGCCGGGTGACGAGGTAGTAGATAGTGATGTACATAGGGGGGGGGGGGGGGGGGGGGGGGGGTTCTTAGCGCAGAAGTCGGAAGGAAGCGCAACGCGGTAGCGGGTGTCACTAGTGCGGAGGTGCATAATGAGGTCAGCGACAGTGGCAAAAGCGGCTAAGTCAGGGAGCAGGTACGGCAACATGAGGCGGCTAAGGGCAGCACTGGCAGGGGAGGAGTAGCGTGCAACAACAGCGTCGTACATAGTCTTAGCAGTCTTGTACTGGCTAAAGTGCGCGCGCTCAGCAGACGGCAGGTGACTATGTACAGCAAGACGAGTAGCAACATCGCGCGTGGTCCACTGCGAGCAGACTGCACTATCAGCATCGGCAGCAGGTGCAACAGAGACGCTTGACGTGTGATCGAACAGTGAGACTCCGTCCCTAGAGTCGCACTGCAGAAAAAGCTGCATATCATCGATCCCGACCTCGAAATCGACTGCTCGACCCTCAGAATCGAAGGTAAGGACATTAGGGTTAGCCATGGTGGTAGTAGCAGTAGCAGCTAGACTCGGCAGGGCGGCGCGGCTCGGCAGGGCGACGCGGCTCGGCAGGGCGACGCGGGTGCAGCAGTGCTCTTACCAGGGGCAGGAGTGAGGTAGGGCCGCGACTGGCAGGGCACGCCGGCAGGGCAGGGGCCGTGACAGGCAGGGCTGCGATGAGGCAGCAGGGCAGGGCCGGGACGCGGCTACAGGTCAGGGCCGGGACATGGCTGCAGGTCAGGGCCGCGTCAGGCGGCAGTGTAGGGCGGCGACGCAGGCGCAGGGCAGGGCCGCAACGAGGCGGCAGGGCAAGGCCGCGATTAGGTGGCGGGAGAGAAGGGGCCGCGACCGGGCGGCAGCAGGGCAGGGCCGCGTCTCGGCGGCTGCAGGGAGGGCCGCGTTGGGGCCGCGACGTAGCAGGGCCGCATAGAGGCGGCGGGGCAGGTCCACACCGGGCGGCGAAAGCAGGCCGCAGCGGGCGGGTAGGGCAGGGCCGCGGGGACGGCGACAGCGGGCTGTTAAGTTCGGCGCGAGGGCAGGGCCCGTGACTACTGCGAAAGCAGGCCGCTAAGGGCGGCACGAGGGCAGGAGGGCTGCGACGGGCCGCTAGGGTGAGGGCGCGACGGGCCGTTAGGGTGAGAGCACAACGGGCCGCAAGGGCAGGGCCGCTAAAGGCGGCACTAGGGCAGAGCGCGCGACGTCGCAGGTGAGGCATGCGCGACGCGCGCTTCGGGCAGGGCAGCTAAAAAAAAGGTTAACACGGTGGGCCTTAAAAAAAAAAACGTTCCCACTAGGGAACCAGTTTTGAAACCATGTTACAAAGTATGAAAACTGGAATGACTAGAAACAGGACAGTACAAGGTTTGTATAGGCAAAACCTAACAATGCTGTACCCCATACGGAGTGCCCCACTACAGCCTACAACATAGTTCTGAGAAGGGGTTCATCAGGCCGAGCACGTCCCCATTTGCAGCACCAATACTGGTCACGCCGAAAAAGGACGAAGGCCTGCGCATGTGAATTGATTATCGAGCGTTGAACTGGGTCACGATAAAATCGTGTTACCCGATCTCGCGAGCGGACGACCTGTTGGACCAACTTCACGGGGCTCGTTTTTTTCGAAGATCGATTTGCGAGGGGGCTACCACCAAATTCAGGTGTTCGACGACAACTGCTCGAAGACTGCATTTCGCACACACTACAATAATTACGAATATACAGTGATGCTGTTTGGACTGACCAACGCGCCCTCAACGTTCCAGCTGACAATGTGTGGGGTCTTCCAGGACATGCTGGACAAAAAAGTTACCATGCATCTCGATGGCATCCTGGTGTACAGCAAGATAGAAGCAAAACATTTGAAGGATTTGGAGGAAGTGTTCTGGCGCTTACACGACAAACGACTCTTTACGGAAGGTTCTAAGTGCGAGTTCCTAAAGGAATTTATGGGGCACGTGGTTTCGGGCAAAGGAATTAAAATCGACCCTCGCAAAGTGGACGTCATTGCTAATTGGAAGCCGCCAACTAACATTACCAAGTTGCAAGGTTTGTTTGGGTTTTGTTAACTACGTTCGACGTTTTGTCCCTAACATGGCAGGGATAACCAAGCCACTAACCGACCTAGTGCACAAGGACACCATTTTCACTGGGGGAGGAGAGAACAGTCCACCTTCGACAAACTTAAAAACATTTTGAGTTCACCAACGGTCCTCCGCCTCGCCGACCCTTCTCAACCGTTTGAAGTCATCACGGACGCCAGCGATTTCGCTGTTGGCGCAATCCTGCTACAGGACTTTGGCAAAGGGCTGCAATCCATCGCCTACGAATCACGCAAGATGCAGCCACCCGAGCGCAACTACCCGGTCCACAACAAAGAAATGCTGGCCATCGTCCACGTATTTCGTACTTGGCGCTGTTACCTAACGGGAGCCGCCGTGACGATCTGAACCGACCACAAATCACTACAGTATATGCGCACGCAACCGACACTCAACCCGCAACAAATCCAATGGTTGGACTACCTCGAGACCAATTTTCGAAACACCATCACGTACAAGAAAGGCGCCAACAACATCGCTGACACCCTGACCCGCCCATCCATGCAGATAGCAGCAATAGTATTCGCCCGCACCAACCCGATGCTGACAGGACTACTCACCCATGGATA